CTTCAGTCTAGTTCTTCCCCATCTCTGTTCATTTCTCTCCAGTTCTTATCCATCTAGTTTTTCCATTCTCTTCTCTCTTCTCCATCTAGTGCTTGCTCTGAAAATAAAACTGCCTTTTATCCCCTTCCCCTTATCTAAGCTATCTCTGCTCCCACAGTTTCTGGCAGGGTCGGGAAGTGTGTTCAGTTGCTAGGCAACTTGGGTAAGCAATTTCAGTCACAGCTAGATATACCTGTAAGAAGGAACCCTTTAGTTTTGAGTTAATTGTTAAGGGTGGATGTAAAACTAGAGGTAAGACTTTGGAAAGGAGAAAGTGAAGCTTAATTAGCACCTTCGCCAGGGGTTCTCCAACGGATAGTCTGGATGGTTAAGTCTGTTCTTAGAGAGTACTGAGGTATCTCTGATAAGATACTTTCATCCGTCCGAGAAGGTCCTGGCCAGATGCTACTAATGACAATAATTACAGGAAGGCCTGAAATTAGGGATCCTGGCTGCATTGATGCACAGGAAGTTGTTTAAATATTCTTTTAGTAGAGGGGAAATTGTGCCCAATGAATGATGGAAAAGCTACAATAGCACATGAGAAATTCATAGTAGGAAATGGCTAATAATCAAAAGCCAATATCACCAAGACTACTTGAACCTCAGCTTGATCTCGGGAAGGTCCTTGGCTTCTTCCAGGTATTAACTTGTCATAATCAGTTGAAACCATACTTCATATTTATTTTGCGGCTTGCAGCAGCTATTTCCTAATCAGACAATAAAATTTAATATTTCATTTTGCAAATATTGATATATTCTATACATTTGAATTATTGATTTCTTGAAAAAGAGACAAGTTTTGAAAATAAAAATAACTGTCAAGATTGGGTATAAAAATACACATTTGAGCTGACACTTTATATTAATTATTGAAATTTCAAAACCATGTTGATAATAAAGTGTAGAAATCTTTTATTCAAGCTAGTATATATGCTATTTAGTTTTAACCGTCAGCTTGAAACAATCTAGAATCAGTGGAGAAGGAAGTCACAGTGGAGGGATTGCACATATTAGATTGATCTCTGGGCATGTCCTTGGACATTTTGTAGTAACCCAGCCCTTTGTGAGTAGCACCTCTCCCTGGCCAGGAGACTCTGGAGTACATAAGAGTAAAGCTAGCTTAGTACTAAGTAAATAAGGAAGCAAGCAGGCAGGCAGCTTGGGGGCACTGACACCCACCCCCATCCCCACACAACCCCACTCTGCCCCCACTCCCCAACTCTTGACTGAGTACATAATGTGACTAGCTGCCTGATTTCCTGTCTTGGCTTCTCTAAATTGATGAATAGTAGTGTGACATTATGAGGTAAAATAAATCCTTTATTCCTTAAGTTGTTCTTGGTCTGAATATTTTATCACACTAACAGAAATGAAGCTAGGACAGAATATAACCAGACTTTGTAACCGAAATGATTCAAATGTCCGTGGGTCTGAATGAGACTGCACTTGTATCGCATACTGAAATCTATTTGTGAGGGCATGTTTTAAAAAGAAAACAAAATGTCCAGAGCTTTGAAAGCAGCCTTCAAAGTGGTGTCATATAAAGGACAGAGTAGAAATCAAGAGGCAATGTCCTGGATTCTTAGTTTTTTTCTGAGACCTATTGAGTGAAAGGTGAACAACAGAGGAGATCCTCTTTGAAGGAAGTAGTCATCCTAAAAATGGCAACTATTGTCAAGAGAATGGTTCTGCATGAGTTACAATTTAAAGATTGGCAGAAGTTCGGTTTAATAAAAAAGGAACAGGGGGTGACCCACTTGCAGAGTTGAGAAGTCTTTCAAAAGGCCAGGCCATATTTCATTCCTTTTCCATCGAGACTTTTTATAAGCAGCAAAAGAAGCCAAGAATGTTCGAAAATGAAACAGAAAACAGCATTCTTGGTTCCTATTATAAAGGAAAAGGGCACACGATAAAAATAGTGCCATGTCCTAGCTTAACCACATTACAGACCCTTCCTAATACAATATTTGTTTGGGATAAACACCACTATGGCTAGACCTATTGTAAGAGGCTATTATTTCTTTCATTTTCTTAACAATACATGCACCCTTTAGTTATATGAATTTCACTGGGCAGTGGCTAAATATAGATGAGCTGATTTAAGTAGTTAATCATAATAATAATATTTATAAACTTGATTTCATTGTGTTGACTCATTCTTCTTACTGGTCCACAAGCATTTAAAAGCAGTGACTAATTCAATGTTTTGTTGAATTGGTTTGAGACATACATAAAAAAAGAAATTGGAATAATCTTCCCTCTTATCTTTGCGCCAGAGCTTTCCCACTCTCAGAGTACTTTTATTTAAATTTATGCTGTGCACAATAATGCCTTAGTAGCCATAACAGACCTAATTTGTAAAAGTTAGTTATTAAGTAATGCTGAAACAAGGTTCAGAATAATTAGTTTGACTCAGGTGCCTGATTTTTGTGTATTATTGCTGCAATTCGATATTTATTGCTATCAAAGATCATGTTAATAGTTATGTCTTTGAACATCCTCAGTCATAATATGTGCAACCATGTATTACCATGGCTTAAAAGGGTCCAGCATCAGTATATTGGATAAAACTACTTTAAATAAATACTTTAAATTTGATATTTTATATTAAATTGAGACAGATACTTTTACCATTTTGGTACTTGTAATAAATACATAATCCACTGCACATTTTCTCATTCTTCCTACATCCTCATGGTTGAACCTAAGTATGAAATTCTTTTTTTTTTTTTTTTTTTTTTTTTTGGTTTTTCGAGACAGGGTTTCTTTGCATAGCTTTGCGCCTTTCCTGGGACTCACTTGGTAGCCCAGGCTGGCCTCGAACTCACAGAGATCCGCCTGCCTCTGCCTCCCAAGTGCTGGGATTAAAGGCGTGCGCCACCAACGCCCGGCTCTAAGTATGAAATTCAACCAGCATTTCTAGCTATGTCTAGAAAATAGATTGGCTAGCCTCCTACTCATCTGTCTCTGGCTCCTCTTTTCTTATCAATGCAGACATGTATCCATTTGCTTTGGTCTCTCTGCTTCAAAGGATTAAGAACCATATCTCGATTGCTATTTCAACTTCAAGATATTTAGAATAGAGAATGCAACAGAAGAAAAACTGCTTTTTGACAAATAAATAAATGAAGAAATGCAAACCTATGCTTATTTTTAAACTTGTGTATGTGGTACATATATGCATGTGTGTGCATGTGTGTGTGTGAAGCCCAAAAATTGACACTGGATTTCCTTGTTGCTTCCCACCTTCAGTTCTGAGACAGTGTCTCTGGCTGAACCATGAGCTTGCCCTTTAGGCTAGATGGGCTAGCCTGTCAACCCCCTGGGACATGCCTGTCTCTGCCTTCCACTGCACTGGGGCTTCAAATGTGCACCACAGTTCTCGGCTTTTACACAGGTGCTAGGACCTGAACCTAGGTCTCCATGCACTTTACTGACTGCACTGTCTCCTGCTAACCTACTTTTCATGTTTCTCTTAGGGGCAGATAATATTTTGAAACAACATTATCAGATTTCCCCCCTCAAAGGTTTTCAAACTTTTTGATTGTGGCCTACAGAAATAATATGTACACTGCCACGCACGAGGTCCTAAAACGATGATGCCCACAAAGCAAGGGTGGCTTCAATGACCTCATAGAGAACTTTCTTAGCTCTTGTGTTCCATTTTACTCGCTTAAGAAAAATAGTGCTGGTACGGAAATGAAGTGACCCACATCATTATCCTCTTTAGTGTCATATGGTAGAGTAGCCTCTGTCTCAGCACTTCTAATGAATGCATATCATGTACGTCCTGTACCTTAGACTTTCAGGACGGGAAGGCCTAAAGGAGCTTGGGACTTCTGTTTTATAGATGTCACTAGTGAACAGTTGAGGAAATATGTATGTTTGGATTTAGATTCAGCTACAAACAACGATCATAGTCTAAAAGTATTTCATCTAACCCTTGCCATAGTCACACAAACTAAGAACTGCCACTTATTAGCAACTGCAAAATTATGTAAAGAAAAAAGAGGTTCAGGCGTCTGGTCCTTTCTTGCTTCCCTTTGCCCTGCTGGTTCTTGACCTTTGCCCAAATATTCTCCCTTCATTTCATGTATCATATGCACATATTTGAAATCTAGAAAGCAAGCAATAGGATTTTTGTTTTGTTTTGTCTTAGATAGGGCCTCCATATAGCCCTGGCTGGCCTTGAAATGGAGTTCACAATACAGCTTAGTATGGCCTTGAAGTCCTTGTCCTCTTGCCCACCCACTAAGATCACAGGAATGCACCACTACATCTAATTTATTTATGTGTTCATTCATTTTCTGTTGTTGCTTGAGACAAAGTCCCATCATAAAGCTCTAGTTGACCTGGAAAGGGGTTATGTAGAGCAGGCTGGCCTCCAATTGCTGGCAGACCCTTCTGGCGTTCAGTTGTGCAAACACTCCCTTATTCTCACCCTGAATCTCGCTATTTCACTTAACATGATGGTATGGGTTACTGCAGTTACTGTAGGAGAGATTACAAATACATCTGTGTGCCTGGGAAAGCTGGCTCACTTCTTTATCATTCGAAATCACATGTGAATCAGCTCTGTCTTACAGACTGGGTCCCCAAGGCAAGTGCAGCATGGGTTTCTTTGTGATTGCATTTCCCACAGAGAGTATAGTGAAGTCTCCACTCAGTAGGCTGATTTGGGTTCTAGTACAATAAACACTTCCACTACAGCTCTGCTCCCCAGATACACTATCACCAAGGCCAACACCTTAGCTAGCTGGCAGGAGGACTTAGCACTCCACTCTTGAGAAGTTTTATCCTCCCCCCACTCCTGACCACCTATAAAACCTTGGGAGATAGGAAGGGTCTGGCCGACCTTCAAACTGGGCATGCTCAATGGCAGAGCTGCTTTGGTCCAGACTTCGAGCCAGGACTCTGGGATCCCTGCTCCCAGCTCCACTGCAGAATTACTCCACAGCTTCTGCGCTCCAGGAGGGCTAGACACAGCGCCGCCCGCCCCCTGCAGCTTGTGCTGCAGCCGCCGGCCACCGGAGGGGGGCGAACCCACGTCAACCTGTTGTTTGTCCCGTCCCCATTGATCTAGTCAGCGCCACAAGGAAGTGCAGCACCCACACGCGCTTGGAAAGTTCAGCATGCAGGAAGTTTGGGAAGAGCTGGGCGAGTAGCTGGACGGCCCGGGCAGCGCAGGGCAGTGCAGGCGGCGAAGGCGCGGTGCGGTGCAGCAGAGGTCCACCGGCCCAACCCGGTGGGCTTTATTTATTTATATATTTATTTCTGGAACGAGGCTATTCCTAGGTCGCTGATCCCAAATGCACCGACTCATCTTCATCTCCATTCTTGTGTGCGCGAACTTTTGCAGCTATCGGGACACTTTTGCGACTCCGCAGAGCGCATCCATCAAAGCTTTGCGCAATGCCAATCTCAGGAGAGACGGTAAGTTATTCATTGATTTGTATTCTTCGTTGACAAGGTCACATTTGTCGTTGCCGGGGTTCTTTGGGCCATTCACCCCACCCCCAGCCCCTCCGTTTTTTAAAAATTTTCAAGTCAGACCAAAAGCATTGTTTGGGGGAGGGATCCTCCTGCTTCGCTCGGAGCTACGGTAGCTCCTCCTACCAGAAACGTACTAAAGAGTGTGAAGTGTCCTGGGGGCCATGGGAGGCAGTATGGTGGGTCAAGTGGGTTTATCCCCTGCATCTTAGAAGTCTCGTAGGTAGGTGTGTCCTGGAGTAGTTGATACCAGGATGTGGGTGACTTCTTCCAGAGTTGGAAAGCTGAATGCTGTGCCCACTTTGGGTCAAGCTAATCTGACACCAGTAAAGCAGGCATTGTGGTAAGTGGTGGAGTCCAGTGGCCTTTACTGGATGACATAATTCTTATTTATTTATTTTAGTGAGGAGAGTAGAAATGACACGTTTCAGCATTGTGGTTATTTCTGCAGCAAACTGGCAATTTATATGTCATTTCTTTTTAAGAGAAGTTATTGCTGCCCTCTCCGTCCTGTCCCTCAAGTGGCTTTCCCTTGGAGTTCACAGAGACTCAGAAACTCAAAAGTCTGGGAGGCAGGGCTGCTGGAATTTCCTTGTACCGCAGGGGACCTGGCTTCTATTGTTGGTTTCTTTTGTGCAGAGGCTTTCCAAGCTCCTGAAATGGCTGTCCTAAGCAAGGTCCTGAGCAGGCACACTTGTTTTTCTGTCTTGTGGAAGACACATGGGTCACTGGGTCCCTGAGATTCCAAGTTGAGTTTGGGCTTAGGACCTCAGCTGGAGCTGGTGGTCCCAGCATGGAGCAGTCCTTGCCACTGGTATATGGAATGGCCCAAGGCTTTACTGCTTTTGTTTTCGTACATGAATTTCATTGTCTTTCACTTGCTTAAAGTGCCCACCGCCACCACTTCTCCCATATCGCTGCCTGCCCCCAAACACCAAGGACATCACCAAGCTGTTCTTGGTGGCTTCAGTGTTTGAGCTGGCAGCATTTGACCATCTTAGTAAATTCATTGTAGACACCTTCATCACTTATGAATGTCTTACTTGATATATCATAAATTCAGACTCTGGGATTTTGAGTGGAAAAATACATTGCTATACTTTTTGATGACAGGTAATGCCAGTGGCAGTGGCTTCAAGTTACCTGATGTGTTAAGGTGTGTGTCCCCAGAACTCACAATTCCCTACTGGGTAGCAGTGTTTTAACTGCAGTTCAAACTACTGTAATCGTCTATTTTTGATGACCTTCATCTTAGGTTTTGCATTCAACTGTAAAGCAAAGAAACCTGAGTCTCAGTGCACTTCACTGGTTTGTCTTGCTAGGCAAAGTCTCCAGGATGGACAGACCTTTGAGTTTTCAGCTTTGCTAATTGTTCTTTATTTGCCTTTTTGGCTTCAAAGAGTTAACCATCATGTTGATGCATGACTTCATAGCCATAATTTTGTAATCCTCCCAAGTATCGGTTTTAAGAAGTCAAGGACAGAAAATGAAAAGTATGCAACCATTACTTATTAACCCAAGATTCTGACCCAAATCCAGTCAGACAGCTCAGAGGGTTTTTAGTCTCCCTACCCCCTTCTTTTGTTGAAGAACACACTCTCATGTTAATTTTCTTTATTAGAACTCTGTATACAAGGGAGCTCTTGTCTACATGGGAACTTCTCAAAATACTGATGATGTCTCTAGATTCCTTCATATTTTAGCTAAAGCTGTTTCACAGTTACTACAACACTACACACACTCACACACAAGATTGCTTAATTTTTTCTATTTAACAATCTTTAAAAAAGGACTGGAAAGTAGGAAAAATCCAGACATAATTAATTAAGAAAACACTAACATTCATAATGCATAATGGCTTGTTAGTTTATGGGAAAGATAGCTCAAAGAGGTGAGATTGAGTAGTAAGGGTTGAAAGTTGAAAGATTGGGTATTATAGTAGTATGTGTTTTACCATAGGCCCACTATCTCTGAACAGATAATTCAACATATCTGTAATATTAAAATACTACAGGGCAGGAGTGTGATTGGAAGAAAAAAAGTCTAAAAATGTTCTTTGAAGGGATCTTGGTGATAATGGAAAACAAGTGGTTGAGTGGCAGCCAGAAAGTTTTGTGGAGACAACCTTTGTACATTCTTTCCAGCCCTGATTGGTAGCCCAATGTCGGGGTCAAGAAAGAAACCATGGGCTGGAAAGATGCCTCAGAGGTTAAGAGCACTGATTGCTCCTCCAGAGGTCCTGAGTTCAATTCCTGTCAACCACATGGTGGCTCACAACCATCTGTAACAAGATCTGGTGCCCTCTTCTGGCCTGCAGTCATACAGGCTGTATACATAATAAATAAATAAATCTTTAAAAAAAAAAAGAAAGAAAGAAAGGAACCATAAGGGGAGGGGCAGGTGTCTCATAGAAATGGCTTCCAATGGTGTGTTGGGATGTTCACAGGCTGATGCAAAGGGTCTTTGGAGACTGAAATTGGCTGCACATCTGGAGCTTGCTTGCCCCAGTCTCCCTCGTGGCTTGTTAAGAAGGATGATGTCTTGCTGTTTTGACTTTCAGATGAAGACAGCACAGACATCTGGTGGGGACATACATGAGAAATACATTCAGGGCAAAGACAGAAAACGAAATCCAATCAACGCTAATTTGTGGTCATTTGAAGATGAGGTCAATAGCCACTGAAAATCCTGAATGGGGGTGGATGCTACGTGTTTGGTCTTTGAAATTCTGTTGGTTGCTGTCCAGTTTGGTGGTTGAAAAAGGAACTATAAGGGATAAAGGCAGATGCCCCATGAAAAGGGCATGAGATCAGTGTTTTTGATTATTTCCAACCTGACAGAAAAAGTTTGGGTTTAATCAGCTGTGTCTAATAGCACAGATATTGAGAAAGTTAGGAAATGATATAGAGATATTAGGTTTAAAAAAATGATAGGCTCCTCTTATAAGGTGATTGGTCTTCTGGAATGTTCTATTACAATATGTTCTTATTGTGAAATAAGACCTCCAGATCCTTCCATTTAGAGTAGCAAAAGGTGGCCATTGGAGGAAGGTGGCAGATTCGATCCAAATGAGATTTTATAACTGTGGAAGAATACATTACAATAATTTTAAACTTGTAATTCAATGTTTATAATTCCTTGTCATACTATTAATCACTCTGCTCAAAATGCTTTACTTTAATCCTGTCTCTAAACCTAGAACAGATCCTAATTTAGAAGTCACATCTCATTTTAGTGTCTATCAGTTGATGTTTCTTTGATAATAATTGTTCACATCAGGTGATGCTCTGACTGATACCAGAAAGGAAAATAGTCACAGCTAAACCACATTATTAATTATTCTAAAACATACCTGAATAGTAGTTCTTGCCTAGAGACTTAAGAATACAAATCCCTCTTCAAGTTCTGACCTTTTGTGTTTTATGAAAGTACAAATGTTACTGGTAAGCAACAATTCTAGACTGTCCTGATTAGATAATATCCCAGTATGGAACTGTCTCCAACTTTATCACTTGCTGGGGCGAGCCCTACAGGTTCTGGACTGTGCTGTCTTGGATTCCACAGCAGCATGTGTGAGTCTTAAGCAACGTGGCTTTCTAGAGGCATACAAATGACAGCACATTGATCTTGGTTAGAGATCAGAGATGAGAAGGGATGGCAACAAAACAAAAATATAAACTGTCTCTTGTGAAAGTGTCTGAGAGCTCAGGGCCACAGGAGTGTCTAAATTTTGCATTCTTTTGTTTTTATAATTTCTGTTCAGTTCTAAGATTCAAACCTTACAATGCACATCCGAGTTTGCCTGTTTTCAATGCAGCTTGGCTTTGTCCTTCTAACAGAATGAGCACAAGTGCTTGATTACCATTCTTTAGAAGGATGATATAGGGCTGGGGAGATTTAGTGGGTGAAGAGACTCAAGGTGGAGTCCTCAGAATCTTCTTTGATATGCAGGTCTGCTCTCCCAGAACTCTTGCAGAGAGGCAGGGGCAACATGAGGAGAATCTCCACACGTTTGTGGGGAGCAGTACTGGCACATGTAGGAGGAGGTGGGCTCTGGCTTTATTTCAAAGCGGAAGGCGAGGACCAAGGTTGTGCCATGTAAGAACTCAATACCAAGGCTGTACTATGACCTCCATGTAAGTGCAGTGGTATATATCCTAAAATTCACATGAATGAATGCAAACGACAACGACGACGACAACAACAACAACAACAACACACACACACACACACACACACACACACACACACACACACACAATGGTTATGAACAAAAGTCCCTGAAAAAAAAATCCCCACCTCCAACTGACCTATCAAAAGACTGATTAACTGATTAGAACTCTAATGATTGTGGAGAGGTTGGAATGTTGCAGGTCCAGAGCCCAATTATGGGG